GTCTTTATTAATGAAAGAATTAAAGTTAGAATGTAACAAAATTATCATTACTTATCATACTAAAATTTTATAGAGTTGATTGGATGAGCGATACCATTATGCGATATTCTTTTTTTTTTTTATTTAACTGATTAAAGATGAAAAATTCGACATGTTAAATAATTCGACCATTGACATACATGCTCACAAATCATACTGATACATTAATTTTAATTTCAAATATGTCATTCAATTTCTATTTGAGAATCATTAAATATTAATAATATTAGCGAAATATTAGCACTAAAGTTGGTCTAATAGTTTCCTGCCCTGAAAAAAATAGAATGTCTATTTGTTTATACTGTTCGATCCTAGCATTATTATTACGTAAAAATGAAAATCGGTAACCAATCAAATTTCGATTATTTACGTCAGGTAGTCACAATATACCATTTTCAAAATAAGATACTTCAAAGGTTTTTGGTTCAAGAATAAAAGAAAACAAATAACATAAAAATATGAAATGTTAAAAATTTTTTACCATAACTGAAGAAGGCAAGTTATATTATAATATCTAATTGTTATCTTAGGAGTAAAATTTGTCTTTTTTCAATTTATATAGATCGCTATAAACAATTTCATATGTGCTGCAACTTGCAGATCTCTTAATTAAATCATTACCCTTAAAATTTTCTGACATTACACTTGACCGATACGTATCGGCAGCCCCAATACATACGTACATTTATTATAAAACGCACCTGTGATGGTTCTGCACCTATTATATGTTTTTATCATGTTTGTTAAGTTTTTATATATTAACAAAATTTTAAACCGAAATTTTTTTATTTTAGGGTCAGGACTTAAGGTTAAATTTAAAGTTAGGGAAAGGTTTTTTGCACCGGTAGAACATTAGATGCGTTTTAGTAAAAGTGTACTAAATATTTCTAATTTTTTTATATTCTTATTTGAAAAGTATTTGCTAATCAAATTAATATAATTAAAAAAGAACATTTCTATTACCAAATTTTATTATGATAAAAAAAAATTATACGTATCACATTACGGTATACTGATACCGATATGTAGCCTGAATTTTTTGATCATCAAATATTTATCCAGCCACTACATTTGATTAAGATAGTACATGCGCATGTATTACATTAAATCATAATATCTAATATTATTAGTCTAATTCGGAGTTAAAGAATATTTATCGGAACTCCTAGATCAAATGGATCCTATTTTCCTAGTTTAATGAACAAAGATATTGTTAAATTTTGACAAAGTTAAATACTGCGTTTAGTTATTTAACAAAATTAATTGGTAGAATTATAATTACCAGAAATTCATTATTGATGCGTAATCAATTATACGTAATCAATAAGTGCGACAAATGTTCATTGTACAAAATTTGCAAATTAAGAAGTAATCTTGTTTGATATGCAGTATAAAATGACAAGTATTCCGATTTGCAGTGTTGTTGTTCATGTTATTCTAAATTCAGTATAAAAATGTCAAAGAGTGATAAAGATAAAGATGGAGAGTGTTTAAATAATAAAATTGCAGATATGGCGGGTGAATTTTATGAAGTAGTAAGCTTGACAGCAATTCCATTCTCTAAATTTGTACCAATTATAAGTGATATAATTAGTGTTACCGATGAAATCACACTAATATATCAGTCAGCAGAACATAATAAACGTATAAGTCGAGCATTAATTGATAGACTTGCGGCAGTTGAATCAGCAGTTCGTTTATTAAAAATTGATAAAGATGATAATAAAGAATTTTTTAATCAAGAAAATTTCGTAGTTATGCAAAAGCTTTCGGATAATATACATAAAACGAAAAAATTTATTGGTGAGGTAACACAACTAAAAGGACTGTCGAAATATATTCAAGCTAAATCTATCAAGACTGCTTTCTTTGATTTAACATCAGAATTTGATAGTTATATTAACACATTAAATTTTGTTATGAACGTTGACAAGAAACTCCGTGAAGAACGAGAAAAAGAGATCATACGTAAAGATGTTGAGGAGCTCAATGAGGTGCAATATTCTTTATTTATTATTTCATGTAGTAAAATAGTTAATATATGATTACATGATATTTAACCATTTAAATTAATTATATATTAATTATTAGTACCTTCAAAAAATTGAAGGTGGTATCACTGATGTGGATAAAAATATAAGTAAAACTGTCAAAGAAATAAGTGATATTAAGAAACTCATTTTGGAATCAAAAATTAATAAAAATAAAATACAAGAAGCAATTGAGATGCAATATAAGCCACTTAAACTTGCTGATTTTAGAGAAACTGATGAAATTCGCTTAAAAAAAGTCAGAAAATATATTCGTCTGATTAATGATGAAGCTGTTGCTTTTAAACTCGTAGCTGATGAAACAGATAATGCAGCGTTTAAGAATGATATAAGTAGTCATGTCGCTATTCTTATGAAACTTAAGGAATGTCATCAAATACTTCAATTTTATGGTCTTTGTTTTGATGGCGAAAAACGTTACTTAGTATCTGAATGGGCTAAAATTGGTAATTTACGAGAATTCTACGAGAGAAACGGCGGCCCTATTGACCCTAGAATAAAAATAAATATTGCGGTTGATATTGCTCGAGGATTAAACTTTTTACGGGCTGTAGAAGTATACATATATTTATAATTTTTGTTGTTTTTTTTTTTTTTTTTGTTTTTTATTTTATTTTAAAGAATGCATTTATATATAATATTTTTTTAGATTGTTCATCGAGATATTCGTCCAGATAATATTTTTATAATGGCAAATGAAACTGCCAAAATTGCCAACTTTTCATTTAGTAGACACTTTAGCGATGAGACAAGAAGATTAGCCGTTTCATTACAAACTGTTCGTTACGCTGCTCCTGAAATGTTATACAGAAATACTAACAAATATAATACTAAATGTGAAGTTTATAGGTATAAAAATGTTCAACTTTGCAGTAATAAATTTACCTTTTAACTTATATATATCAACTTTTGTAATAATTAGTTTTGGCATCCTTTTATGGGAGTTAGCTGAGCAAAAGATTCCATATAAAAATCTTGATGACATTATGGAAATTAAAAATCGTGTAGATAAGGAAAAATATCGAGAACCATTTACAAATTATTCTAATTTACCGAAAGATTATAAGGAAATTGCCAAGAAAGGTTTGTATTTTATCATAATTTATACTTGAATTTAAGATCATTTTTATTTACTTGATATGTTTTTTAAACATTATAGCTGTTGGTCCTGATCCCGATTTTAGACCAACTATAACAGAAATGTTCAAAGCACTTGAAACACTTCAAGATAATTTTCGTTCACTTAGACCAATAACTCCTATTCCCTATGAATCCCCCCGTGAATCTCAAGAAATTCCTCTAATTGAGGATGATGATAATATTAAGGTTACTGAGGTTATTAACTTTGCCGAATTTAATTATATGACAATGAAAGAAGCAACTTTAGCTCATCGTGTTAATAATGGAAACTTAGAAATGGCTTACAAATGCCTAAATGCTTATGCAAAATCAGGTAATTTATAGATTTTACTTTTTATTGTATCTAGCATTTTATAAATTTATTTATTAATTTTAATTATTAATTATAGGAAATTTAAAAGCAAAATACTTTGTTGGATATTACTTATTTAAAAAATTTGTAAATACTTCTGATATTGATGATAAAGAGAGAGAAAAACGTGCTGCTCAATTATTTAAAGAAGTTGCTGATTCAAGTGATGAAGTACCTGATGCACAATTAAAATATGGGTTATGTCTATTTCAAGGAACAGGTGTTGATAGAGATTTTTCTGAAGCTGCAAAATATTTCAAAAAAGCTGCTGAAAATGGTCTTGCTGTTGGTATGTATAATGTCGGAAATATACTTTATGCCGGTCTTACAGGCGTTAAAGATGAAGAATTGGGAATAAAATATATTAGAGAAGCTGCTCAAAATAATCATTTGGAAGCTATGGAATTTTGTAAAAAGAATAATATTCCTATTGTTTTTGATTATAAACATACATAATTATATTTTTGTTATCTATTTATTAGTATATTGTTATAAGTTAAAGTTTAATATATTATTATGATTAATTTAAATATTTAATATTTATATAAGTTTAAAAAAAAGGAAAAAAATACAATAAATAAATAAAAATTTTACAAATTTATCTTAACTAATTTTTAAGTCTAATTTGGAAAACATGCTCCCCCGAATTATATTCAAACTATGTATGCTATGCAATGTTAAATTTCTGTTCTTTAAATGATAATTATAAAAATTATCTACCAACCAGGATTTTATCTTTCAAAGCTTTCTAGGTTTAATTAATATTTAAAATAACTATAAAGATTAGTTTATTTGAAATTTTTATAATAAATCTCAAATGTTTTCTATGATATAAATTTGGCTGTAAACTTTAGTAATAATGCACAAGATTAATTTTGACAAGGTAAGATAGATCATAGAAAAAATATAGAGTATTTTCGAGCACCTAAATCATACATAAATCAATGGATCGGAGATCAAATTTTAATTATATAGTAGAAAATTATTTTCCACTATCTGCTATATAATTAAAAACTGATTAAGAACCCCATAAATATATAAATCAATTTGAGAAATTAATTCTTATTGTAAAAAATTTTTTAAGCTTCCTGGAAGTACTACTATAAGGACGATACGCGTAGACTATACATATCAAATATATAGTTAATTTCTTTAAATAAAGTATTTAAACTCATATATGGTTCAGTGCAAAAGATTTGCACCTCAAGAAATGTAAATAAAAAAAATTTTCATTAAGCAATATAGATTTTTTTTTATTCAAATAATTCTGTACATATTGGGAAATATAAATATATAAATTTTAAATCAAATTTATATGTCACTATCTGAGCTATCAATATCATCGATTTCTTCATCGATTAGCTGCATATTTTCTTTAGACTCAACATATTCCTTGGCATATTTAAGTGCCTTTCTCCAAAACCCAATTATAATTTTTGAATTGATTTTTTTTTAAATGAATGTAAAAGTGTATTATGAATAGACAAAAGATTTTTTATGAGGACCTGAATATGCAACATCATCCTTTACAACTGCCCAAATACTCTCTATGAGCTGAAGTTCATAGTGATATAGTAGGGTATAAGAAATTTGATAATTGTATTGTTTTGCTATTTCAATACAAGTGAATAATATCTTTTCTTTATTTTTTTGAACTAAGTCCAAGAGCTCTAGTTTTTATAATTTGCTAGAACAAAAATATTATGAGCAGTTAATCAGTTGATCATTTTTTGTTTTTTTTGTACTTGATATTAGAATATTTTCAATTTGCTATTTATAATAGGTTGCTCTGTTTATATGTATGATTACTAACCTATATTCTTTATAAAATGTTTTACAAAGATTAGAAAAAAGATCTTCAAAAATGTTTACATTAAAGTTTCTATAGTAGTCTACTTAATCAGGAACAATATTTGCATCTTTAACAATATCTGGAATATTATTTTATTCTTCAGAGTTATTTCTTTTTTATCCTTAGTTTTCTAAAGGCTTAATTATTAGGTCCCAAATATGAACAGAATTTGAAACAAGTTCATCATGCAGTTTGTTAGTAAATCTATTTCAGAATACAATAATTGTTCCAAAAATTATTACTAACAGACTATACTCAGGAGTTAAAATAATATCTTGATAGAAAAGCTAAGTATTGTATGAGACATGATATAAATAGCAGTATGACTTATCAAGAAAAACCTCAGTTTGACTTAGAATATTATTTTTGCTTTCCAAATTAGCAAACCTAAAGTAAAGTTAGTGATAACAGAATGCAATATTATTAGATAATTTATGAAGAATGTTTCTTTATTCTCCCTAACCAAAATAATAGCTTAAAAGATGTAATAGCCAAAGAAGTTTCTATTTAAAAAATGAATATTCATGTTCAAAAAGAAATTGGTAAAGAATAGATATAAAAAGTTGTTCACCTATTTTATTAGTATCTAAAATTTTTATGCATAGTAATTCTGATATATTTTGATTAGGTTGAAATTTAGATTACTCAAGAGTTCTTTGGGGTATAAATATATTGCTATTATATTTGTTCTAGTCTGCTACTATGCTCCAACTATTCTCTCAGAAATATCTAATACTTCAGCAACTCTCTTGTATAATGTCAGCTTTCAATGATCATTTTTCACAGAATTAATTACAGAATAGTAATTGTAAATATTAATAACTATTAACTTTTTATTTTCAGTTAGTAGCATACTATTTCTTTTTAAGGAAGAAGAAGGTATTATAAAGAGAAATAATTAATACTGCAGATAGGTTAAGTTATATTTTACTATATATATAAATTTTAGGCTGATATCATAATTATATTACATTTTTTTCAATAAATCACATTATTTTTTAATAAGATACAAATCTTTTTGTACTAAACTATATAATACTAATAAATATTTAATGTTTTTATTATAGATACTAGTTAAATAAAATTCCAAATATATAATTCTGATAAAAAAAATTCTAATATTTAAAATATTATCATATTCATAATAATTAATCTATTCTTGAAAATATAGTAAAAATGAGTTTTTTAGATATATTTTGCTTAGTTTAATTTAGTATTTTATAAATAGCAAATAGCCTAATAAAATATATTAAATAATTGCTTTATAAAACTAATATTAAGCCTTGTCTTTTTAAAAGTAGTCATATTTTGTATATAGTATTTGTAGATATATTAGAATAATTTAGAGTGTTCTTAAGCAACTTTTTCAATATGATTTAATAGTAATTAAGGTAATGCTCATTTACTACTATTGATCAAAATAATGATTGTAATTGTTGCTTAAGCAGATCACTTTTAATATATTTATTATCACAAATGTTTTTACTATATCACAATAAAAAAAAGATTACTACTCAATATACAAATATGCTTTTGCCTTTGGCAATACCAAGTACTTCAATTTCTCTTTTTATAGATTTTTCAAATATTCAAATGTTACTACAGCAACAATATTAGCAACAATATTCACAATTTTATATGAACCTTTTGGCCTTTAATAAACCCAATACTATAAATAATAATATATTCTCTTTAGCTTTAAATAATCCTAATTCCATTGCTATAATAATATTCTAAATTCTACTTTTTTCTCTTAGATCTCTTACTTATTGCAATGAAGATTGTTTTTTCTTATTTTATTAATAA